TTTTTTTTTTTTTTTTTTTTTTTTTTTTTTTTTTTTTTAAGAAAAGACGGCGTGCACAGAATAATTCGGATAAAAAAAAAAAGAAGAAGTTTAATTTCAGAGGTTCGCGCGGCGAAAGCTTATTTTTTAAAGTATATTGCGCTAATAAACTTGATAAACTTATTTTGGAAGTATATTGCTTTAATAAAGTTAATAAACGAGCGCATTTATATCATTTCTAGCTAGAACGCGCGCTAACGTGTACCGCCATCCTCTTGGGCATCATTTGAGCTCCTTTTCCATCTTTTTCTATTCGTCTTTCGTCTCATCGTGCTCCGTTTCATCCTCCGTTTCATCCTCCGTTTCATCCTTCGTTTCATCCTCCGTTTCATCCTCCGTTTTCTCTCTCCCCGTCTTCCCTCCCCCCTCCCCTTTCTCCTTTCCCTCTTCTTCCTCCTCTTTCTTACCTTCTTTTTCTTTTTCATCCTCTTCCAGCTCGGACACTATTAACATCTCATCGTGAAACACCATGTTAATGATGAAAAATTATTATTAATACTTTTCTCATCCTCGGCTAAATCTGGACGATCCGTTTCCAATTCGGATTGCAATTCCGGACTCGTGGTCAACGGTTCCGTGGTCGATTTTTCGGTGATCTCTGATGGCGCTATATCCTCGTCCTCTGTCAAAGATTCTTCCATGAAAATCGGGGAATTTTTGATTTCCGTCTTTGGGTTTGGACGATATTTAGGTTTAACTGTTTCTATATTTTCTTTTAAATAACAATTTTGAATTATTTATCGGAATATTTCTTTTTTCGAAAAGTTAGCAATAATTGCACCCACCCTCTTCTTCTTCTACTTCTTCCTCCTCCTCTTTTTCGTCATCCGGAAATTCTAATTAAGAGTAAAAAATTATATTATCATTACCTTGTACATAATTAATTGGTTATAATCCTTTTCGTGTGGTCATTTAATTTTAATAATTGAAAATACGTAGCTTTTATGTTTTTTTTAAAAAATTAATGAGGTAAATAATTGTTTAAATTATTTATCTAAAAATAACGAAGTAAGAAACGAAGCAATCAAATTATTATTAAAAAAAATAAACCGTTAAACACGCGTTAAGATGTGAATTAAAATTTACGTATCAAATATTATAATACTTTTTACTAAACGTGACATCTTCATTTGCTCTTTGAAAGCTACTTGAAATTTCGTACTCATATACATCATTTCTTCCCGAGTGCCATACTCTTCGGGGATATCTTTGCGCGAGGTTATCTTTTCAAAAATCTTCTGATGCACTTTATCGACAACGGCATCAGCGACCATTGTTGACGTTGTCTCCAATTGTTGCAAATCGTACTTTTGTTTTTTTGCACGATATCTTTTAAAAGCTTTCTATGAAAACAAATCTTATCTTAAGAAAAAAAAAAACGAAAAGGAGAAAAGGGATTAAATCCATTCGATTAATTGTTTACGAGATTAGAGAGATCGTTTTACAATTAATTTTTAAAACGCAATTGCATATTTTTTTTTTCGAAGATCGTTGAAAAAAAATTTTTCTTTCTCATTTTCTCACGAATTTCTACGATCTAAAGTTGAACGATCGTTAGCGTTACTTGAATAATTGTAGCAGCTTCGTTGGCCTTTTGCATTTCTAATCCAGAATCTTCGTACATCACGTCCATCCAAGCAACCGCTTGGAAAGCCTCCACGGGCTCCAATATACGTTCATCCTTCTTGAGAGGCTCGTCTTCCACTGCGAATATCAACAGTTAACTTTCTTTCCAATGAACCTTTCAAAATTTATATCGAATTCAATTACTGTCTTACGAGGGTCGATCTTTTGATTCCTTCTGTTGTAGTATCCTCGATAGGCAAACTAATTAATAACGCGTGATTTACTAATTAAATTATCGTCACTGACACACGATGTTTAAATAAAGAAGTCATTACTTTCACGTGTCTTGCGGCTTTAGCAATTTCCGTTTGCGTTGCACCAGCCTTCTTCAGAATATTCAGGGTGTTCGCCACTGCTCTTTGCCATTGAATTTTTCCTTGGGCCTCGCTTAAGGACATCCTTTCGTAGTGACCGCGGAACGCAGACTGATCTCAGTGATTTATATTCAACATTTGAGAATTATTCGAGGATTTGTAAGAGATTTAGATATTTTGTTATACAGAAATATTTTTCTTTTTTTTTTTTTTAATTTGAAATACTTGTATTATTATGGAAGCTTGCTCTGCTTCTTCGGGTGATGCTCCTGTTGCTTCTAAAATATTTCGAATCGATATCTTGGATTTCTCTTCGCAAATTGCATCTAAAACGATTAAAATACTTGCAAAGATTATCCTTCTACAAAACGCGTGTAATTCATTATAATTTTAATTTAATACAATCCTTTGTAACAATCATTATTATATATAGTATAATAATTTGTTAAAACTATAAAAGTCTCATTTCGATAGAAGTATCATTTAAAGTAATGTTTAAAATTCATTAATTTCTAACAGCGATCAAAAATTTCCTTCCAATAATATTTAACAGATTTTTTTAATATATCCACTATAATTTAATTTTTAAGAAATAATATTTCTTTCTAACGAATCTAAAGAATTACGTTACAAACATTTATTTTAATTGAGAGATTAAAAATATATTTAAACCCTCTTCCTAAAAAAAATTCAAAGCCCTTAGAAATTAATTTTACAAAAACGAATAATTTAATTTTCCCACCCTAATGTAAGTCCATCGATACTTAAATATATATATATAATATTAATACATATAATAGGAAAATAATTTTCCAAGATCAATTGCCAACTTATTTCCCGGCTTTCAACTTGCGCACACGCGCCTATTCTCATTAATCATCTCGACTAAAACCACGTTGAAGAATAATTTCCATCGATAACAACTCGTATCGCCTCGTATATCCTCGCTTCTATTTTATAATTTTTCCCCGGCACGAGGTCGGTCGTAAAAGCAGCCCGTTTAAAAATAATAACGCTTGCCAGTTCCTTTTTCTTATTTTTACGATTCATTTACGATCTCCCTTACCCTCGCATATCAATGGCCGCAAATCCATCGCGTCCAGGTACGAGCGGAATACTTTCTGAAAAATGTGAAGAGAATTAGGATAGGTGGAAAAAATTTAAATATATATGTATATCTATATAAGCGCGACGACAAACGCGCACGCGAGAAAAATAAAATTTACTTGAATCCGTGGAGCGGCGACCGCCACTTGCTCCAAACTGAAACCAGCCCGGTAAAGTATGTTCAGAATTGCCTCGCTTCCGAGTAGAATATTGTTTACGACTTTGACTGCAACTGAG